CATTTTTTTGAATGTTGAGTTGTACAAGAGATAAATTATGCGATCCCAATCATTTGAGTAATCCGCCAAGAGGAATTTCTTCATGAGATTTTCCCATATCTGAGATGAGTATGGACAGAGGAAAAAAAGATGATTTCGAGTCTCAACCGGATCACCAAATAAGCAACAATTCGTTCTCACACTTAAGCTCCAACTTGCCAAACGATCCCCCGTCGAAAGTATATTATGACAAGCAAGTGTGAAGAATGAGTACTTTGGCGTTGCATAAGGGAACCAAACGCCGCAATACCATTCTTTTTTGTCGTAGCTTGTTCTGATCATCTTCCATGTTCTTTTGGTATTAAAACGTTGTAGGTACTGGTTGTTTGCCGATTTCCATAGTATGCGATCTTCACCCTCATGCACTATTTACCTAAGCCTTGCGATCTCAGCCTCAATCTTATTAAACACCTCCACACTATGGTTTCGAGGACGACGAGAATTCAGAACCGACGCCACAGTTGCGTGAGTTGAAATCCCCATGTCGATGACTCCCTGAGGACCAGTGATATCAAACAAGCTGCCAGCGACGACCAAGTATCGAACCAGAAAGATGTGTTCTTCCCATTTCTAACCTCAACTCGAACAAACTCCTTAGCTAACTCACGGAGATTACTTGTTTAAACATATATTCAAGAATCAGAATTTTTTAACTCACTACATGAATTATTGTGAAGATTATATATCATGGAATGGAAGTAATCTCCTAAACATACAACATTAAAAAAAAATAAGGCAATGTTCCAAAGTTCAAGCTAAAAATTTAATGATGTTATAGATCTACGAGACTACGAAATAATTGAAAAGGTGAAAAGCGATCAGAAGTTATAATGTAACGACTAACGACCTTGAAGAGGAGATGCTTCTAAGAGAGTATCGATGCCGGAATGCTTGCAATAAACCATGCCTTCAACAGCTACAAGTCTCCGGTTCATCTTTACCGGCGACGACGTCGTCACGGGAGAAGCAGAGGAGACTTCATTAGTGTAGAAGAAGGTCAAGGAGATGTGGAGGAGTAGAAGACATTTGAGAGGTTTTATTACCAAACCCATTTCGTGTTCTTTGTTAGTGAGAGTGAGAAGTGAGATTCTCTCATTTAATGCCATATAAAGCACTAACCATTTAACCATTTGGTTCGAC